GGGGGGGGGTGTCGGGATGGGGGCGAGCGCCGGGGCTGGGGGGCACGGCGGCCTACGGGAGCGACTGCTCGAGGCGGGGGGGCCCGGTGGTGCTGCGGCCTCCTTAGGGCCTGGGGTCAGGGGCTCGCTGGGGACCCAAGAGGGGACGCAGAGGACATCGGCGTGGTGGCTGTGTGCAGGGGGGTGGTGTGGACCTGGGGATGGGGGGAGCTGCCCCCTTTCCCTCCCCCCGCCCGCCCTGTCCAGCCCTGCGGCTCCCTTTCAGAGAAGGGAGACCTCAGCACAGCACCCTCCTGCCAGGACACGGGGGAGCCCCGCTTCTCCTGGACCCCCCAGTCCCTCCCAGCACCACCTTACCTCTCTCCGTGTCACGTCCCCAGGCAGCGCAGGCCCCGGGCTGGCTGTCAGCGGTGGGAGAAGCGGGCAGGAGGGCTCTGCCTCCTCCCTTGGCCCCAAAGTGTGCCCTCGTCCCCTCTCCGACCCGTGCCCGGGGTGGGGCGAAGGAGAGCGATGCTGGGCCACGGCGTGCCCAAACCTGCCCCCGTGGCGTGGCCTGACGGAGCCATCGGCAGCTTTAGGGTTTGTCCGGCGTAAGAGGTGTAATAACCTGCCTGGACGCTGCTCCCCGGGGACTCGCACGTCTCCCTCATCCCTGAATTTCTTCCCCTCTGTTTCCCAAGATTGGGGCAGCTGTGAGGGTGGGAGGGAGAGACCGAACCTGAGCCCGCTGCGTGGTGAGAAGAGAGGGGAGACGGCTTATTTGTGAGAGCCCAGCCCACAGACCGGGGCAGAGCACGGCTCTGAATCGATGTGCTAGAAGCTGGCAGGAGCTGCCGTTGATTTGACCTTCCGTTGGGTTTCCTGGCAGAGGAGGTTTGCGAGGTGCAGGGGGGTGCATCCCACTCTGCCGAATGAAACCTCCGCTCCCCCTCCAGGTCCCGGCTGTAGGGAGCGGCGACGCTGAGCCCCTCGGCTCCGAACCATGAGCTGGCTTTGCCGCTGCTGGGGCTGAGGGCTCCAACCCCTGGAGAAGAAAAATGCTCCAGACCAGCAACTACAGCCTGGTGCTGTTCCTGCAGTTCCTCCTGCTTTTCTACGACCTCTTCGTCAACTCCTTCTCGGAGCTGCTCCGCACGGCGCCCGCCGTCCAGCTCGTCCTCTTCATGTGAGTGCCAGGCGGGCGTAGCGGGTGGTGCGGTGGGGCAGGAGGGCTGGGGGTTTCACCACCTCTCTCTCCTCCTGCAGCATCCAGGACATCGCTATTCTCTTCAACGTCATCATCGTCTTCCTCATGTTCTTCAACACCTTCGTTTTCCAGGCCGGATTGGTCAACCTCCTCTTCCACAAGTTCAAGGGGACCATCCTGCTCTCGGGGGCCTACCTGGCGCTCAGCATCTCCTTCCACGTCTGGGTTATGGTAGGCTGGGGCGGGCTCGGGGCTGCTGGCTTCTCCCGAGGGTGGGCAGCGCAGGCAGCGCAGGCAGCATGGGCAGCGGTCTGCTTGCTTTGCTGGCCACAACCCGCTGCTCCCCTGAGAGGAAGGCCACGATCTACCATCCCAGGGACAGTTCAGTGTCCCCCTGCGATTCCTTTTCCCGTAGGGATCAGGCTGGAAGGGAGCTGCCTCATCCTGATCCCTTCCCTAAAGGCCGTGACCTGCCGGAAAATCCTCTTTCCCCGGGGGAAGCCCCGCAGCTCCAGCTCCATGCTGGCACAGAAGCCCGCGCTGGGATAATCCCCGCCGAAGTCCGTGACAGCGGCTCCTGATTTACCTGGGATTAATCCCAGCAAACGCCAGCGCTCAGAGCCTGGGGGCAGCGCCCTCCCCACTGGCACCGAGGGCTCAGGGGGCCCGGCTCTGTCCTGGCAGCGTCTTCCCCTTCCTTCCCCCCGACTAAACTCCCTCCTGTCCCCTCTCCCAGCCCCAGACCCCCAGGAGCAGCCCACCCGCCCGGCCCACCCTCCTCCATCAGGATCTCGTCCCCCTTCCCGGCGCTCAGAGCTGGGCCGGGGGCTGCCCCACACCAGGGTGCCCGAGCGGGCAGCCGCGCCGGTGCTGCCCGCGCCGTCCGGGCAAGGGATTGACGGGGATTTGCAAGGATCTGAAGTCTGAAGCTAGAATAGGTCCCGGCTCGCTGGCTAAATCCCCTGAGCCGCTTAATCTTTGGGGTGGGGGGCTGCTCCCCCAGCCGGCAGCGTCGCCCCAGGCCTGCGTGCAGCCTTGGAGTCGGCAACACATCCGTGCTGCCTCCAAACTAACTCACGGGTTATTCCCGGCTCCCGTCTGTCTGTCCATCTGCCTCAGAACCTGCGGTGGCGGGATTCCAGCCGTTTCATCTGGACCGAAGGCCTGCAGACCCTTTTTGTTTTCCAGCGGCTGGGTAAGGCCTGGTGGTCGCAGGGTCCCTGGCGGGGTCCTGCCCCTTTCGGGGAGCCTGCGAGGGCGAAAGCAGGGGCCCACCCTCACCCCCTTCCCTCCCGCAGCGGCCGTGCTCTACTGTTACTTCTACAAGAGGACGGCGGTGCACCTGGGCGATCCCCTCTTCTACCAGGACTCCCTCTGGCTCCGCAAGGAATTCGCGCAGTTCCGCGGCTGACGGCTCCCCTCGGGCTCTGGATCCCCCCCGTCGGCTCGCCGGCAGCTCCTGCCGTCTCTCTGCACTCCACAAGACCCCCCTGGGGGCAGCTCCCGCTCCGGCCA